CACACACACACACACACACACACACACACACACACACACGATAACTTTATGGATGTGAGACGAAAACCTTAAGATAGTAGCATCAGGAAATAAAAGGGCATTTGAAGTAAATTCTCTTATTCAGCTTTCCTTTGAGTTTTAAAGCTATGCATCTAGGCCATACAATTTCACTGATTATTTATCTTCAAACTGTTCGTGTTTAAAAATAATCCACAGACTCGGAAATCAGAAGGAATGTTAAGAAAACATCTACAACCTATGATAATGCCTGGTACATGGTATATGATGAAATAACATTTAATGAAGGGAAACTGGGGGAGTTTCTTATTCTAATTTTAAGTGAAAAAAAGTAATAAAACAAAATAAAACAAAACCCAAAACCAATTCTGAGCATTAAAGAGGCTAAGTTAGTGCCTTGATTCTAGTTGGGTCCAGAATTTATTCCTCTTAATTTCCAGCTATGACTCTTTCCCCAGCAACCTGTTGACTTGTTTATATAGAACTGTCAAATATAATCTGCCAAAGATGCATCATTGTAAAAAAAAAAATCAGAAAGAACCCCTTGGGTTCACCATCTCCAAAAGTCACCCAACAAGTAATATTCACATATGATGTGAAATATGTAAAGTCAATATCATCTATATAATATGCAAAATACAAACCTTGCATATATTGATCCAAAAGGTCTATCTTTAAGAGACAATGGCCACAGACAATCTTTCAAGACTTATTCTACTTTATAGCACTCTTTGTATGCCTGCACAGGTGATCTGTAGTCCTCCCAGCAGCTAAAAGTAGATTGGCTATTTCAGCAAAATGTTTGTCTTTGTTTCTGTGTATTGTTGTATTGATGCTTCTGAATTTACCTATGAATGAAGCATTAACTATCTCAATGCACTATAGTCCTAATAAACTTATGTTGCACTCTTTTGGCCTATGTGATAACTAGCCCATTGACAAAAAAAAAAAAAATCAAGCTGATAAAAGCCTTTCTTGGCCACTTGTCAAACAGATCAAGCTGTAAAATCATAACACAATGCACGCCTCTTCCATGGGGCACCACACAGCAGCGATTAAAAAAAACCCCTCACTTCCACATCCAGTGGAGTTGTAGTTTATTACTATAACCCTCCCAAGTCAAAAGGACACCAGTTTTAAGCCTTGCAACTTGGTGCAGACAGGGTTGTTCGCCCTTACCTCACTCTGCTGGGCCTCTCTACCTGTCCTTTCCTACTGTCTACAGGTCCCGAACATTAGAAAATAGAAAATGTGATGATCTTTGTGTGTCTCTGTAAAATGTGTGTATGTGTGCGTGTGTTTGGGTGTAACGGGCCTCCTGTTTGGCCGCGCGGCCTGTCTGTCACGGCGCGGGCCAATGGCAGGCTGCCTTATATAAAATGAGTGTTTTCAGTCTCTCCGGGTTGCATGTACTGTATGTGGAGCAGTGTACAGTGAAGCGGAGGCAGAGCGGCTCCGCGAGCTCCTCTCCACTTTCCCATAGAGAACCCCAGACTGGCCGCGGAGGGCGAGCTACACACACGCCCTCACGGCCGGCGAGCCCGCGAGGTAAGCGCCCCTCATCTCCAGCCCTTCCCGGGCGCTCTCCCCGCACTTTCTGTTTTCCTACTCACTTGCGAGCCGCCGGGCTGCAGCCCCAAGGACTCCGCGGCAGGAGCAGCGGCGGCGGCGGCGGCAGCCGGTAGGGTGGACTTGAGGAAGACGGAGGGAACCCCGCGCGTTCCGAGCCGCCGCCTGCCGGCCCGCTGCCTGGGCACTTTCCCCCTCTGCCAAAACTTTGGGTCGGTCGAGGTCGGGGGCGAGGGTCGCGGCGGCCGCGCCGGCGGGGGGCGGGGGGCGCGGAGGCAGTGCCCTGCGGGCGGGAGGCTGGGGGCCGGGCTGGGGAGTAGTAGGCCAGCCGGTGCCAGGCTGCGTTTGCAACCAGCACCTCTCGGCACACAGGCAGCGCCGCCCGAGAGGGGCACGGGAGCCGGGGCGCGGGCAGGAGCAGCCCGAGGAAAACAACAACAGAACCCTCACGCCGGCGGGCGGCTCGTGGCCGCCCCGGGAGCCCCAAACTTCATCTGGGCGAAAGTACGTGGATCCCAGCCTGGTCTCGGCTGCCGGGGAGGTGGGGCCTGGGGAGCAGGGGCAGGGGAGGAAGGTACGAGGAGCCAGCCCTCAGTGGATTTATGGAACGTTTCGTGTGCGTCGGTGACCGGGAACAGCAGCCCAGTTGCTCGTTCAGCTGGAGAGTTGGGATTTGGGTGTTCCGGCCCCGCGGATCGGTGCCCTCTCGCCCCCCACCCCTAACCAAATACGCGGCGAGTAGAGAAAGTGCTGTTTTAGTGCGGGAGTAGTCAGAAGGAAGAATAG